AAATAAATGTGACTTGACTTAACTAATTTATAAATTCACCAATCCAATGTAATTTAAAATGTGATATTTGTAGTACCTGAGAAAATAAAAGAACTGTAAGTTAAAGACTTCTCTTTCACAAAACATATAAATAGCTAAAAATGTCAAAGACAAATTCTAAAATTAGGACCTCGAGCCATATCACATGACAATAAGATACTAAGAACATAATTTTAACATAAACAAGTAAAAAAAATAAAATAAATCTAAGTACAAATCTTAAATAATCTAGCGCCTGTCTTCGACTGTCATTTCTTCTCTTCATGCTGATTGGTTCAGGTTTAGCAGCATTTTTTCGGAGATGCCCGAGATGCCACTCCTAATCCAGTAACATCCCTGTAGGTTTCATTTACTCTTCAGAGCTGCCAACCAGGTGTGCCACTCACTCAGGTAAGACCTCAGAGTTCTTCTAAAAATACTTTTACCCCAAATGTTCAATGAAAAGTTGATCTGATATTGCTTTTAAAGTAAAACTTGAGGAATAATGAAAGGTTAAGTTTGTACAGACTGAAATAAAGATTTTATTTTTCTTCGTAACACAGCCTTAAGGCGCTTTTTTTTTAGGATAAAACCGACCTCTGGTTAAAAACAGGGGCATCCTGGGTAAACTCTCAATGATGTAAGTTAGTTTGTATTGCAGGTAAACTGTGTCTTTACAGCTAATGTTATTGAGAATGGGACAGAGTGTGGGATTAGGAAACTAAAGATGATGCTTCATGGGGATAAAATGTTTACTTTAAGTGTCTTCATTTATTTTAACATTTTTAAGTATCAAAGTGTGTGAAAATGATCGAGATCTCAGTGAGGATTTCATTTCTATGTGAATGTCAAATGAACTAGAAGTTAAAACACTTTTACACACGTTATGTATCCCTGCTCATGAGACTTGCCTCAGGCGATTCTTCTCAACAGGACTTCTTATTAATTAAATTCTCATATCAAGTATCAGTGCTGTTGTACTTGGACACTTTTTTTTTCACCAAATTAAACCTTAAACCTGCACATCAATTCAGAGAATTTCCAAGTTATGAGGAAGAGCTTTCTTTTATTCACCATATGCTGTATTTATTAAACATGGTACCTTGTTCTCTAAAGTAGAAAAAAATGGAAGGTGAACCAAACCGGTTCACCTAGTCACCAAACCGGTTCAGAAACAGATAAGGGCATGGCCAGAGGGGGCCTCCTCTGCACCACAGACTATGATATGTTGAAGCAGGCAGCCACATACAACAACCAGCTGGTGGTTAATTTTTTTTAACCACTGTAATATTTGAGGTGGTACCTTGTTCCCTAAAGTAGGAAAACCTGAACTTTTAAATAAGAAAATGATAGCAGCAAGTGGAGTTTATATAAATAACAATACCATTATGCTCCTTTCTTCAAACAGTCACCTCTTCATTTAACACATTTGTTTATATGTAAATGTATCTCTCACTGCTTCAAAAGTTCTGTTAAACAAAGAGGATGAAGTGCAAATTATTTTGAACAATGGTGCTAAAATAATTATTCAGAATGTATTTAGCATCCTGGAAATGTCACGATTTATTAGTAGAAGGAAAACCCGGTTTACTGAGCTCCGATAATTTCCTGCACTATTAGGTCTTCTGGGGATAAAAAAAGAAGTTTTGTGACAGAAGAACGGGTCATCATGATTCATGTAACTGAACTTGAACAAAGCACTGGGAGGTTTATATAAAAGATTTTCAAGCTAATATGGCCGGTATTTTGTCGCAGTCACAACCCAGGCTCAGTGAGCTGGACAAACTGGGAGAACACACAGTCTTACTGTAGTCTTATTTAAGCAATAATTCTTTGAAAACTAAAGCAAAACATCCTCATAAAAGAATATGCCGTCTGTTAATCAGTGGTGTTTGCAATGGTGAATGTGTGTGGTGTTGTGGAGGCAAAAGAAAGACCACAAACCAAAGTTAGTGTTGACAGGAGAGAGAGATATGGGCCCTATCCAAAAAGCCACAGTTCAGTATGCAGTGCGTACTTTTCAGTCGACTGAACCCTTAAGGTAATTCAGTATGCATTTTTGGGTACGCCTCAGTATACTGAACATTTCAGCATGGATACTAACTTCCAGGTTTTGTGCAGTATGATTTGGATGCATCCAGAGACAGAGAAGCCAGCTTAAATAAATACTAAGGCCCAGTCTGCCCAGGAATACAATTAAGTGGCTCTGCCTTTTACTACCTGAAGGCAACCTGAGTGGGAAGGGATACAATGCAACAGGAGGAGCAATGACACAGTCAGGGGTCGTCACTAATGAAAATAGCAATATTATACATCAAATATGTTCTATCAAATCACATTAACAATTTAGTCAGACAACTCACGTTTGTATCGATCAAGTCATTTTTGCAGTAGAACATAGTTTGTGTTTTGGCGTCTAGGCTCCGACCAAATCACTCCTCAGTTTTAATTTACATGCAGAAATGATGGGATGGGATGGGATGATATCTTTACACCCCCAGACACAGCCTACAGGTGGATGCTGGGGTGGTGGTGGGGCTGAGGAAGCTTGCTATACTAGTGCAGGTCAGAGTAATAATATTGGGCCCAACACTAACCCCTGAGGGACACCACATGTAATACCCAAACAATCAGAGTCAAACCGAATCATGCAACTTAAATAGACAGCTAATTGGAAGGGTGTGTTGTCAGGTGATTGTGGATAATGATGCATGTCAAGTGTGAAACCAGTTCAGCTCGAGTTGACTGCCTGAACTAGCCTGCAGGCGTCCCTCTCATTTTATATTTAACGTATTACCTTATAGTTAACTGGTACTCCAATTCCTGCCAGATTTAACTTGAACATCTAATATGTTTGTGTTCACAGGTTTATTATCTGTGGTTTAATTTGTCCAACAAGAGATGGCAACACAACCCCTGGTGGAGTGGGAAACTGGTCTCTGTGACTGCTTTGAGGAAGTCAGCACCTGTAAGGATCAATTTTTATAACTTAAGTCAAATTTGGAGTTTCTTCAATTAAAGGTCATTTCTGATGGTATCAAACAGCATAATTGAGTTTGTATTGCTCTGCTTCAGGTTGCTATGGTTTCTGGTGCTTTCCTTGCCTTGCCTGCACTGTCTCAGGGAGATTTGGAGAGAACTATTGTCTCCCATTATGTGACATCTGCGGTCCCGCCATATTGTCAGCCTGTGGGATTCCTTTGTTTGCGCCTCCTGCAGGTCTGTCAATGAGGGTTGCAATGCGAAACAGATATGGTATCAAGGTATGATGCATGCAGAGCTGACGTCATCAGGATTTCATGCCACAAGTTGAGTAACAGTAAAGCAATATTGAATTTACACTGGTTCATATTTTGTCACCTTGTTTTTTTCCTGCAGGGTTCCATCTGTAAGGACATCGCAGTTGCTTGTTTCTGCGGATGTTGCTCCTGGTGCCAAATGCATCGAGAGCTAAAACATCGTAAAAAAACTCCCACTGTCGTCAATGTGCAGAATACAACCGTTTTTGCCACACAGCCTGCTCCAGTGATGATGATGCAGCCCCAAGGTTTTGTGACCCAGCCAGGTTTTGTGACCCAGCAAGGTGCTTTCGTTACTTCTAGATGATCTTTAGGGCGTGCCATGTGTCAGTTTGTGTACTGAGTAAAAATGCTTTTGATCACAAGACAATGATTTGAATAATAATAATAATAAAGTACTATTTGAGTCTATCAACTCTCAAGTTTCTCAATAAATTTCTAAATGCTTTGAATTTCCCTCGGATCTATAAAGTATCTATCTATTTATCTATAAGACAATAAGCCTTTCAGAGCAACACAAAGATTGGCATCAATTAAATCTCATGAGATGAAATAAGTTTAATATCCAGTTTTATAAATGGATAAAAAAAAAACTCTGCTTAACTTGGGTTGTAAAAAAAAGGCAAAAAAAATAAATAGTAATGACATTTTGAAAAACAACCAAAATTTTGAAGGTGTTCGCCCATACAGTTATCTCAAGAAAAATAAGAAAATAACAACCTAATAAAAGGACCACATTATCTTTTTAATGTTTTATAGGTAACCTGGCTTGGCATTTTTTAAGTTTAGTTCTTATTTTGATGAAGTTTAATTCCCCCGTCCACTAACAGGAAACAGTTGTTTAACATGACTTTACAAGAGAAGCTCGTTCATCAAGTGCTCACATTAAATTCATGAAACACATAGCTTAAGGGAACTGATATCAGGCTGGGAAGCTGTTGTCCTGGCAAACGTTAAGTCATTCAATGTAGAAGTTGAGTTCAAGTCGATGTCACTTGCTTTCCCTCCGGACTAACCAGTTTGTCAAGAATGTTGTGGAGACTAAAGACTTTGTAAGACGGAGGATTAGGGCCACGCTAAAAAACATTTTTAAGAGAATAATCTTGTAAATTAACGACTTCGAGACCAGCCTGCATACGCAAAATGATGAAAGTAGAACTCTTAAAGTATTTTCCTCTGCAGACAACTTCCTCCAAGTCAGTGTGGCTCTTTCTTCAGTTTCTTTCAGTATCTTTTCAGGGTGCTGATATTTTAAGACAATGTGAAGACGATGATGTGCCAACAGCATGTGTAGTTTCATATCTGCATAAGCAACACAACTATTTGTGTCTGTTATCGGTCTGCCTTGTTGAAATGTCTCATGTGCAGAGCCAGTTTGTGTCCTGTTCATCATTTTACAGATAAACAAAGTCTTGCAAGTTGAAGTGAAAACTTCTCTTGAACTGTTTTTACCGACTACACAAGGAAGTATCCTATTTCCTTATTAGTGAAACCTTTAGGACAAGATGCTCCATGTTTGTCCAGGTTTAGTTTAATCTCGTAAATGTACGACTTTAATCTCTAAATTTAAATTTTGAGGTCTTTGATGTGAAGTAAGAGCGCTCTGGGTGTTTCTTGTCGTTTTTCATGTTATATATTTGTGTTCTTTTTAAAAGCACTGACAGAAATTACAATCAATTTGTAAACATTCAGTTTGTAGATTTTATCTCTTTAATTGATTTCTGGTCATTTCAGTTTCTCTGATTAAGCACTTCAGTAAAAAAATCCTTCTGTTTTAAATCTGGAATTTATTTTTTTGTCAATAAAAAACAACAAATCCACGATGGTCCATGTTGTAGCCATTTACACTTATATTTAATGTAGAACAGCATGCACTGCTCTCTGCAAAGACAGACATACATGCTTGCCTTGCCGGTGTCTCTTTTTCAAGAACAAAGTGAGTCCTCTGGTGTTTCCAAAGTTCAGGATTTTTGGAGACCTGTGTTTTTACAGTTCTTGTGTTTTCTTTCCTGTTAAAAACTGTTTGGTGAAAGGTGAGCCGTTCACCACAACGATGAAGCTCGGAGTTCCTCCTTTGACAAAAAACCTGTTGACCAAAAACAAAAACAACAAGCAAGATGTGAAAGAAGGATGTCCATGAGTGTCAAAGAAGTACGTTAAAGGAAACTTAGACAGCAAGGCGCCAACGAGGGAACTTCCCAGGTGACCCATTTCCTTATTGGTTCAAATGAAATTCCAAACAGACTAATCTAAAGGTAGGAAAACACTCAGACACAGCGACAAAAGAGCACAATACATTCAAAATTCTCAGCAGGTAAACAATGCTAACAACAATGATAAACGTTAGCAGCCCTGACTTTAACTCCATGACTGTACCTTTTATGCTGCAGCACTTTCAAAAGCGACGTCTGTGGGTTGACTTGGTAGAGAGTCTCCGTCTTTCCATCTTCAAAGTACAGCTGGAAAGAGTCAAATATAGATGATTAGGATTGAAAATCAAGTACTTATTATTTTAATCATCAGGAAAACTGTCCTGTGTTTGGTAGTGAAATAAAACATTTGACTCTTACTGATATTCTTTTATGAATTCAGCATGTTCCCCTGCTATCGTTTGTAAGGAAAAGATGATTCCACAAATTTCATGGTTCAGAACTGAAGAGTGAAAAATTACACCTTCTGTTGACATCTCTAGGATGATGCTGTGTAAATGTCTTAACACTTTAATTCATGTCATGTCTTGCAGTATTTACGATGAGGGACCAATCAAATTAAGGCAGAACACACAAACCTGAAGGTTTTGCGGGTGGTATTTTCTGTCCGCATCCCAAGGTGGAAGTTCCTCTCCAAACATGACCGCGATGTGATCCATAAAACTGGAGCAAGAGAGAAAAAAGGTGATTGTTAAAACAAGTAACGCATACATGAAGATTTTGTCAGATGAAAGAGAGAGATGAGAACTTCTGAAATAGGCTGATTGGCTGTAAAAGATCTGACTACATGTTGGTGACAATAGGCACAGAAATGCAAACAAACAAGATGAATTGAGGTAAAAAGAAGACGAGCAGTTTACCAGCTGTTCTCACAGAAGGCAGAGATGAAGTCACTCTGCTGGTGTTCTGGATAGAGGAAGAGAACGGGCCAGTGCAGGGAGCCCTTCTCATCCAGGAACACCTGAGCCCCCATCACCTCCTGAGAGCTGAGGCCGTCCACACTGAGCTGTGCTATCGCTGCAGAGGAGCCTTCGTCCTCGTCCTCACTGTCTGAAGCACGCTGACGAGGCTTCACCGGCTGCAGGAGCTTAATGCCACGACCCTGCATGAAGCACGGAAAATATATCTGATAAGTGCTCCAAGAATAATATGGATTCACGCTGAAGACGACAGAAATTATGAAATATTAAGTTAAGAGTCAGATTTGACAGAGTGCTGAAGTTATGACGGAGTTAAAGAGTGAGGACACCAGTCTGTCAGGCTGCAGCCATATTAAGAGAAGTCTTAAGTCTGGCTCACACTGTGCCATTCTTCCCCGATTGTTCAAAAGTCGGGGTGGCATGTCAGCTCACACTGTACGACTGAATCGTTTACGACGTCCGACCAGATCTTGAGATCGACGTGCTCACACTGTACGAGTGAAATCGGGACGGAGCGTTGACAATTGTTAGTAAAGTTTCATTTAAAAAAAACAACGGACGACGGTTGGTGAAAGAGAAGGAAGTGGAAGTTGTTGTAGGATATAGAAAAGTTGATACAATCGTAGATATATGGAGACAAGTTTCAGAAAAGTGCTGCACTGATGATCTGTACTGAAAAGTAAAAAAAAGAAAAACCGCCGGGTTGCGTCCTGCCGCTGGTCGCCATGACGACAGTCCTCCCTTGTCTCTGGTGATTATATTGTAGTCACACACAACTTCTGCTGGACCCTGTCATGACGTAATCGTCAGGATTTTAAATTCTAAATATCAAACATGTTTGAAATAAATCGGGGCGTCCCCGACGATCGGCGGGCAGATCGGGGACGTTAAGATTGGATCTTTGGACCGCTCACACTACGAGATAATCTGAGCAGAGAATCGGGTCTGAGCAGCCTCGAGTCGGGAGCGACGCTGCGATTGTCGGTAAGAATCGGAGCTCAAATCAGCCCGATGATCCTGCAGAGTGAGCCGGGCTTTAGTGTAAAAGTCCAACTTAATCTGTTCCTCACTTTTTATAATTCTTACCGTTATCATCAGACATGGGCCTCCTGGCTGTCCCCCGCTCACGGTTCAAGCTAAAGGGAAATTGTGCTTTTTCAGTTAAAGCCCCTAAACTGTGGAACAGCCTCCCTCGTCCCATCAGGTCTGCATCCTCTGTTGACTCAAAACATATTTTTACATGTTAGCATTTGAGTCCTCTGATCCTGAATAGACCATTTCTTTCAGGTTCCCTTTGTTGCTTTCTTTTTTTCTTTATATATCTTTTCTTTATATGTGTATACATAAATACATACTGTATATATTTCTCTCTTTCTTGTGGATGTTGTGAACTCATGTTGTTTCTTTAATGCATGGTACAGCACTTTGGTCAGCTGTTGCTGTTTTTAAATGTGCTTAATAAATAAATGTGACTTGACTTAACTAATTTATAAATTCACCAATCCAATGTAATTTAAAATGTGATATTTGTAGTACCTGAGAAAATAAAAGAACTGTAAGTTAAAGACTTCTCTTTCACAAAACATATAAATAGCTAAAAATGTCAAAGACAAATTCTAAAATTAGGACCTCGAGCCATATCACATGACAATAAGATACTAAGAACATAATTTTAACATAAACAAGTAAAAAAAATAAAATAAATCTAAGTACAAATCTTAAATAATCTAGCGCCTGTCTTCGACTGTCATTTCTTCTCCATGCTGATTGGTTCAGGTTTAGCAGCATTTTTTCGGAGATGCCCGAGATGCCACTCCTAATCCAGTAACATCCCTGTAGGTTTCATTTACTCTTCAGAGCTGCCAACCAGTTGTGCCACTCACTCAGGTAAGACCTCAGAGTTCTTCTAAAAATACTTTTACCCCAAATGTTCAATGAAAAGTTGATCTGATATTGCTTTTAAAGTAAAACTTGAGGAATAATGAAAGGTTAAGTTTGTACAGACTGAAATAAAGATTTTATTTTTCTTCGTAACACAGCCTTAAGGCGCTTTTTTTTTAGGATAAAACCGACCTCTGGTTAAAAACAGGGGCATCCTGGGTAAACTCTCAATGATGTAAGTTAGTTTGTATTGCAGGTAAACTGTGTCTTTACAGCTAATGTTATTGAGAATGGGACAGAGTGTGGGATTAGGAAACTAAAGATGATGCTTCATGGGGATAAAATGTTTACTTTAAGTGTCTTCATTTATTTTAACATTTTTAAGTATCAAAGTGTGTGAAAATGATCGAGATCTCAGTGAGGATTTCATTTCTATGTGAATGTCAAATGAACTAGAAGTTAAAACACTTTTACACACGTTATGTATCCCTGCTCATGAGACTTGCCTCAGGCGATTCTTCTCAACAGGACTTCTTATTAATTAAATTCTCATATCAAGTATCAGTGCTGTTGTACTTGGACACTTTTTTTTTCACCAAATTAAACCTTAAACCTGCACATCAATTCAGAGAATTTCCAAGTTATGAGGAAGAGCTTTCTTTTATTCACCATATGCTGTATTTATTAAACATGGTACCTTGTTCTCTAAAGTAGAAAAAAATGGAAGGTGAACCAAACCGGTTCACCTAGTCACCAAACCGGTTCAGAAACAGATAAGGGCATGCTCAGAGGGGGCCTCCTCTGCACCACAGACTAGGATATGTTGAAGCAGGCAGCCACATACAACAACCAGCTGGTGGTTAATTTTTTTTAACCACTGTAATATTTGAGGTGGTACCTTGTTCCCTAAAGTAGGAAAACCTGAACTTTTAAATAAGAAAATGATAGCAGCAAGTGGAGTTTATATAAATAACAATACCATTATGCTCCTTTCTTCAAACAGTCACCTCTTCATTTAACACATTTGTTTATATGTAAATGTATCTCTCACTGCTTCAAAAGTTCTGTTAAACAAAGAGGATGAAGTGCAAATTATTTTGAACAATGGTGCTAAAATAATTATTCAGAATGTATTTAGCATCCTGGAAATGTCACGATTTATTAGTAGAAGGAAAACCCGGTTTACTGAGCTCCGATAATTTCCTGCACTATTAGGTCTTCTGGGGATAAAAAAAGAAGTTTTGTGACAGAAGAACGGGTCATCATGATTCATGTAACTGAACTTGAACAAAGCACTGGGAGGTTTATATAAAAGATTTTCAAGCTAATATGGCCGGTATTTTGTCGCAGTCACAACCCAGGCTCAGTGAGCTGGACAAACTGGGAGAACACACAGTCTTACTGTAGTCTTATTTAAGCAATAATTCTTTGAAAACTAAAGCAAAACATCCTCATAAAAGAATATGCCGTCTGTTAATCAGTGGTGTTTGCAATGGTGAATGTGTGTGGTGTTGTGGAGGCAAAAGAAAGACCACAAACCAAAGTTAGTGTTGACAGGAGAGAGAGATATGGGCCCTATCCAAAAAGCCACAGTTCAGTATGCAGTGCGTACTTTTCAGTCGACTGAACCCTTAAGGTAATTCAGTATGCATTTTTGGGTACGCCTCAGTATACTGAACATTTCAGCATGGATACTAACTTCCAGGTTTTGTGCAGTATGATTTGGATGCATCCAGAGACAGAGAAGCCAGCTTAAATAAATACTAAGGCCCAGTCTGCCCAGGAATACAATTAAGTGGCTCTGCCTTTTACTACCTGAAGGCAACCTGAGTGGGAAGGGATACAATGCAACAGGAGGAGCAATGACACAGTCAGGGGTCGTCACTAATGAAAATAGCAATATTATACATCAAATATGTTCTATCAAATCACATTAACAATTTAGTCAGACAACTCACGTTTGTATCGATCAAGTCATTTTTGCAGTAGAACATAGTTTGTGTTTTGGCGTCTAGGCTCCGACCAAATCACTCCTCAGTTTTAATTTACATGCAGAAATGATGGGATGGGATGGGATGATATCTTTACACCCCCAGACACAGCCTACAGGTGGATGCTGGGGTGGTGGTGGGGCTGAGGAAGCTTGCTATACTAGTGCAGGTCAGAGTAATAATATTGGGCCCAACACTAACCCCTGAGGGACACCACATGTAATACCCAAACAATCAGAGTCAAACCGAATCATGCAACTTAAATAGACAGCTAATTGGAAGGGTGTGTTGTCAGGTGATTGTGGATAATGATGCATGTCAAGTGTGAAACCAGTTCAGCTCGAGTTGACTGCCTGAACTAGCCTGCAGGCGTCCCTCTCATTTTATATTTAACGTATTACCTTATAGTTAACTGGTACTCCAATTCCTGCCAGATTTAACTTGAACATCTAATATGTTTGTGTTCACAGGTTTATTATCTGTGGTTTAATTTGTCCAACAAGAGATGGCAACACAACCCCTGGTGGAGTGGGAAACTGGTCTCTGTGACTGCTTTGAGGAAGTCAGCACCTGTAAGGATCAATTTTTATAACTTAAGTCAAATTTGGAGTTTCTTCAATTAAAGGTCATTTCTGATGGTATCAAACAGCATAATTGAGTTTGTATTGCTCTGCTTCAGGTTGCTATGGTTTCTGGTGCTTTCCTTGCCTTGCCTGCACTGTCTCAGGGAGATTTGGAGAGAACTATTGTCTCCCATTATGTGACATCTGCGGTCCCGCCATATTGTCAGCCTGTGGGATTCCTTTGTTTGCGCCTCCTGCAGGTCTGTCAATGAGGGTTGCAATGCGAAACAGATATGGTATCAAGGTATGATGCATGCAGAGCTGATGTCATCAGGATTTCATGCCACAAGTTGAGTAACAGTAAAGCAATATTGTATTTTCACTGGTTCATATTTTGTCACCTTGTTTTTTTCCTGCAGGGTTCCATCTGTAAGGACATCGCAGTTGCTTGTTTCTGCGGATGTTGCTCCTGGTGTCAAATGCATCGAGAGCTAAAACATCGTAAAAAAACTCCCACTGTTGTCAATGTGCAGAATACAACCGTTTTTGCCACACAGCCTGCTCCAGTGATGATGATGCAGCCCCAAGGTTTTGTGACCCAGCCAGGTTTTGTGACCCAGCAAGGTGCTTTCGTTACTTCTAGATGATCTTTAGGGCGTGCCATGTGTCAGTTTGTGTACTGAGTAAAAATGCTTTTGATCACAAGACAATGATTTGAATAATAATAATAATAAAGTACTATTTGAGTCTATCAACTCTCAAGTTTCTCAATAAATTTCTAAATGCTTTGAATTTCCCTCGGGATCTATAAAGTATCTATCTATTTATCTATAAGACAATAAGCCTTTCAGAGCAACACAAAGATTGGCATCAATTAAATCTCATGAGATGAAATAAGTTTAATATCCAGTTTTATAAATGGATAAAAAAAAAACTCTGCTTAACTTGGGTTGTAAAAAAAAGGCAAAAAAAATAAATAGTAATGACATTTTAAAAAACAACCAAAATTTGAAGGTGTTCGCCCATACAGTTATCTCATAAGAAAAATAAGAAAATAACAACCTAATAAAAGGACCACATTATCTTTTTAATGTTTTATAGGTAACCTGGCTTGGCATTTTTTAAGTTTAGTTCTTATTTTGATGAAGTTTAATTCCCCCGTCCACTAACAGGAAACAGTTGTTTAACATGACTTTACAAGAGAAGCTCGTTCATCAAGTGCTCACATTAAATTCATGAAACACATAGCTTAAGGGAACTGATATCAGGCTGGGAAGCTGTTGTCCTGGCAAACGTTAAGTCATTCAATGTAGAAGTTGAGTTCAAGTCGATGTCACTTGCTTTCCCTCCAGACTAACCAGTTTGTCAAGAATGTTGTGGAGACTAAAGACTTTGGATTAGGGCCACGCTAAAAAACATTTTTAAGAGAATAATCTTGTAAATTAACGAGTTCGAGACCAGCCAGCGCAAAATGATGAAAGTAGAACTCTTAAAGTATTTTCCTCTGCAGACAACTTCCTCCAAGTCAGTGTGGCTCTTTCTTCAGTTTCTTGCAGCATCTTTTCAGGGTGCTGATATTTTAAGACAATGTGAAGATGATGATGTGCCAACAGCATGTGTAGTTTCATATCTGCATAAGCGGCACAACTATTTGTGTCTGTTATCGGTCTGCCTTGTTGAAATGTCTCATGTGCAGAGCCAGTTTGTGTCCTGTTCATCATTTTACAGATAAACAAAGTCTTGCAAGTTGAAGTGAAAACTTCTCTTGAACTAACTGTTTTTACCGACTACACAAGGAAGTATCCTATTTCCTTATTAGTGAAACCTTTAGGACAAGATGCTCCATGTTTGTCCAGGTTTAGTTTAATCTCGTAAATGTACGACTTTAATCTTGTTAATTTACGACTTTAATCTCTAAATTTAAATTTTGAGGTCTTTGATGTGAAGTAAGAGCGCTCTGGGTGTTTCTTGTCGTTTTTCATGTTATATATTTGTGTTCTTTTTAAAAGCACTGACAGAAATTACAATTTCTCTGATTAAGCACTTCAATAAAAAAATCCTTCTGTTTTAAATCTGGAATTTATTTTTTTGTCAATAAAAAACAACAAATCCACGATGGTCCATGTTGTAACCATTTACACTTATATTTAATGTAGAACAGCATGCACTGCTCTCTGCAAAGACAGACATACATGCTTGCCTTGCCGGTGTCTCTTTTTCAAGAACAAAGTGAGTCCTCTGGTGTTTCCAAAGTTCAGGATTTCTACCATTCTACCGTTACCTTCAAGTCAGGCACTTTATACAGGAGTCAATCCCACAGTTTATAAATAAACCAAAGAGCCAAATGTTTTATGATATCCTTATTTCAAATCCAAACATCTGGTCTCCCGCTTTGTATCTGTTTTTACCAGTGAGTGCAAGTCATCTCAAGGAGGCCTGGGCTGAAGAACTAGGGTTCCCAGTGTCAGATGAACTGTGGGAGGAGGGCTTGTCTATAAAGAGCTGTTCTTTAAACTCTAGATATAGGTTAATTCAGTTCAAAGTTATCCATAGACTGCATTATTCTAAAACTAGACTAAGTCAAATTTTTGATTCAGTCTCCCCCTTGTGTGATAGGTGTGGTACTGCAGAAGGTTCACTATCACACTTGTTGTGGCATTGTCCAGTACTAAGTTCTGGAGTGAAATATTTAATTGGTTTTCCAAACAATATGAAACAAATATTCAGCCAGACTTCAACTTGGCAATTTTCGGCAGCTCTGACGTGACAAGGCCCTTTCCCTCTCACCAAAAACATGCTCTCAATGCAGGCATGGTTGCAGCTAAAAAATGTATATTGCTAAGCTGTAAGTCTACAACACCCCCATGTTTCAAAAGGTGGCTCAATGAAATGCTTCTTATTGCTAAGATGGAGCAGATTCACTTTAGCAAGCAGAACTCTGATGGTTATTTCATTAAGGTGTGGAAACCCTTTCTGATGTTGTTGGATAAAACTTAAATGTATTCATTATGGTCTGTGCTGCTATGTTATGTCTATATTATGTGGAAACTCTTCCTTATTTGGCATAATGACTGATGATTCTGATTGACTCCCACCTACATGTGTGTTTTTGTTTAGTGTTTTGTTTGTTTTCTACTGATGTGGATTTCCTTGTTGTCGATATGTTTGATGATGAAGAAATTCGCCGTTGACACTGACTTGCTTTCAAAGAGTATAATTTTATTTAAGCAAGAAACAGAGTCACTGGTCACGTCTGACCAGGAGGATCAAGAAGCCAATAATGATCTCTCTCGAACACACAGAGACAATTGCTTATATGCATCCAAACATCCGCTTTTCGTCATGGGTCATAAAACATCACGTTACACAACCACATGTGGCAATACTCCTATACAATACCTCAATTTAAACATTCCACCTGAGGGGACTCCTAAATCTCCCTCAGTTACTATCACAAGACGCGCCCGTTGTAAACTTATATTATCTCTGTCCTAGTTACATCAGACACTTCATAGTCCCCCCCCCCAATTATGATGTTAATTAGCCTCATACGAATCACTTCTGTCCATGCTTAACCTTAGTAATATAGTAAAATTGTATTTGTGGAGTGTGAGAGCGAAAAACCCATCAGGCAGCTATCTTTCTTTATTATCCATCAAACAATCTAGACAGGAAAACTCTCTCACGGTCCCTCTGCCCCAGGCAACCACCTATAGTACTCCAAACCAATTAAAAAGAAAATGTTATGAAAACTTTTTAGGATGATATATAAATGCACACATTCAAAACCTCAGAAATAAAATCTAAAAATTGTCCAAAGGCTGGTCGACCCATCGCACCTTCCAATGGACCTCTCCCTACCTAACACCACTTTCCCTAAGGATCGATAAAGAAAGAAAACACCTGAGGTCCCAATATATGCATCTTATACAGTTCCAGAAAAATATGTCTTGCTAAAAATATCTACTATAAAGTAAAACATACAAAAATATTTATCAATATTACAAGTTACATTGTAATAAACCTTCAATGATTTTTTCAATCGAAACCCCTCATCATGATGTCTTCATTCAGGTTTCCGTTGTCCATTTCCATCCTCCATTTTCTTAAGTTTGGTTGTTTCAACTCCATTAATCTGGAAGGATCTCTGGACAATCAGCCACCCTCACATTGGTCTCCCAAATATCATCCTGGGAAGAAAAATCAACAGCCAGTATCTTTGTACATACAAAACATCACAGATATTCATTTTTGTATCATACTTTCACATTATTCCACTACATGATTAGCATATACATGATTAATATACATGATTAACATATTCAATTCCCCCTTTTATCAATTCACTTCCAGTTCAAAATAATAGTGAGTCAATGTTGAATTCAGATATTCAAAAATGGATATTTCTCTCCAATCTCTATGACCTCCTCACCTTCACTTAGGTCATTACCACTCAGTAGCGGCATCTGAATGTTTTCTCCTGGCATCACAACTCCTACCCATCTCAATATCATAGCCTTAGCAAAGGTCAACAACAGCGTACAAAAACAAATCATCACACACAGTGATAGAAGGGTAGCCACCAAAATCTGAACCACTATAGCTCCTACTGGTCCTAATTGGTCTTGTAACCAGGTATTCGCAGACCATCCTGCTCTTTCTGATGGACCAAATGAATCCCTAATTAGTTTCAAAGCATCTATGACACTAGTCATATTGTCAGTAGCATCAGGAATCAAAGTGTAACAGGCTTCTCCAGTAGATTCAAAGATACACAGAGGCCACCTTGTTTGGCAAAATGTAATCAAGAGCCATGTCATGTTTCAGCAACGTCAATCGATGACTCCTCTGATATTGACAAATATTCAAAACCTTTTATGTCTCGTTTGCAAAACCTTGCAGGGTATATGTAATATTATCAATA